GCAAGACGGATTGAACGTTAAAAACGATGGATACCAAGAAATAATTTCGCTTAAAGCTTTTTTACTCTAGCCGCATTTCTTTGGGAGATGATTACACGATTTAAAAGGCCTCTAAAAGAAGCGCTGTCACCCTTAATTAAAGCGTCACAAGGTGGTACCCATACGCTTGCTAGTAGGGTATCATACGCTCACTTGCCTAACTCCTTCATTCAACCTTTAAAGACCACAAAACCCAAAACATTCTGAATCACCAGCATTCTCTCAGATGAGTCAATGTTGTTAAAAAAGGAGGCCACAAGCCTCGTTTAGCCAAGGCTACGCATTTCCGGTAGCGACCTAACAGTTTCTGTAATCTTGAGCCAAGTCTCCGCCCCTTTTACTCTCAGAGTTCTCTTAGCAAGAATCTCTCTCTCTCTCTCTCTCTCTCGCTAAAATCTATTTTCCCACATTTGCAGGTTATCACTTTCTTCGTATTGTCAGCAGGTCGGGTTGGGAAATCCACTGCAACGGGCTGGGTGGAGCCAATTTTGGGATGGATTCGGCGAGTATGCCCTCGGAAAAACATGTGTCCGGGTTGAACGGAACGGATTTTCGAGAAAAAGGTAATTGGGTAAAAAATTGTCCTTGGAACGGATTTCCGGGTTTGTCAGAGGAAGTACGATTTTCAGGCCAACGCATTTCAACCTAGGCTATTATTTGTGGTATTATTTACGCAATTTTTGATGGCAACTTTAGGCCAATCAATAATTTTGGGAACTGTGATGCGTTTTTCGTTATAATCCAGTTGTAATAAAATAAGTCATTTAAAGAGGCAGAAAAATCACGGAAACACTTTATACGTCCAAAATTTAGTGGTAGATCGCAAATTTGAGTATCTGTGGGAGTAATATGCGGATTTTCCCATTGTTGGTTTTTTTACCCTTTTTTAGGTAAGCGAAAAGTCACAATTAAGCGTTGTAAAATTCATTAATGTAATGGCGATTTGCATAGGATATCTATCAATACCTCAAAATGGAAATTTTATGCTTTCCAGGGTTCTTTAAAGAGTAAAAAGCTCTTCATTCATCGATGCGCCTTAAATTCGACGTTTTAACGTAATGAAAAATACATTTTTCATTATTTCTGAGCACGAAATCCAAAAATAGCACGTGCGACCCTGTCGAAAACTGTTGACTCCACCAACCACCCGTGGTAGAGATCTCTAGTTTCATGCCCCCTTTCTGAGATCTGCAAAAGAGCGCCTGGATTTTTGGCACCTCCCCCACCTGGGTCTCAATATTTTGCGGCTGGGATTTTCCGGGAAATGGTCCTCAGCATTAGTCAGCCCATGTTGGGGGTTGAATCATCCCTCTCGCTTCCCTCTAAAGCCCGATGGTCGTCCTCGCTGAATGGGTGCTGGATGAATACGGGGGCAGGGGCTTTTGGGGTTTATAATGGTAAGCCTGGGGGGTAGACAATAGATTATAAATCATTAATACTGTATAACAAACGGTACTATCCTATATACAACACTATTATTATGCAACAAGTTGATCGAGTCGACCCTGTACTCCCTGCCAATGATGCCGGAGAAATTGACCAAGTGGAGTATACCTTAATGTATCCGCTATTGGCTCTGCTCTCGAAACTGTAAATCGGACGCCGTCACTTCCGTTTTTACTATCGACGGGACGACGACAGTATGCTGAATCTATCTATTAGTGCCTCGAATTCGCGTCGCTGCAATGTGACAAATATTCCGCTTCACTACGCTACAACAGTTTAGATCAATAAAGACGTCCGTTTCTGTATTACATAAATTACCATTTAGCTTAATTCGTCTTGTAAATAAAGTACAAAAACTTGAATTTGATGATTGTAAAATACCAGTAAATTTTGTTTCCGTTTTTCGAAACTGTTTTCACCTGAAAATGGCATGAAAGATCTCACATCTGGGGTACATGAATAAATTTGTCAATAAAATGGCCTAAGTTCCGTGAACAACACAATACAGTACATCTTTAATTAAAACCGTACGCAATTACTTGAAATACGCTTTACAATTTACAGTACACCAGACTGGTAAATTGGCAGGAGTTCAAATGAGTTTGATCAGAGAGAGAGAGAGTGAGAGAGAGAGAGAGAGAGGGATGCAAGCTCGAGCGATGCCCCGGTTTTTTCTAATTTGGTAAGTCACCAGGGAAGAGTTCAGATCAAAGCGCAGGAGACTCGAAAGTACGGAAGCCAATGAGTTCCTAAATGAGCTCTGGAACTTACTTACTTTGCGTTTTGTCTTGAAGAACACAGTGGAAATTCCTAATAACCCGGGTTTCGCAGCGGTTTTATGAGGACCAGGATGGAATTTAGGATCTAGAAATTTGGGGGCTGGCTTTGAAAGGTCTTGGAGCACAACGAGGACTTTATAGTTACGTTCAATTCTCAAAGCGCTGTGTTTTCTCGACTCAGTTTTTGAGATAAACCAAACTTGGATTTAAAAACAAAAATGAGAGGACTAATAAAACCATTTGTGCCCGCCTGAAGTCTAATTGTTTTTGGGCGCAGCGCGACAAAATTGCTGCCTAACACTTCCCCTTTCCACCTAAGCAAGACAATGATTTCCAGCCCCCCAAAAAATTGTCCAAACTGATCAATTTCCCAGAACTGCCGGGTCACGTAGGGCGGGTGCCAAATCAGCTGGGTTGTGCAACGGATTGTAAGGCCGGAAATGGATGTGTAAGGGTTTTTCAGGACCGGCAAAAAAGGACAATTCCGTCTAAATCGAGCATTTCCGGCAAAACACGGATCTGGAAATGAGAAACTGATAAACGTGAGAACAGGAGGGTCAAAAAGTGCTCCGGAAAGGACCGCGATAAAAATGACCAATCCGAACCCTTTTTATGTATTATTTTAAGGTTTTTCAGAGTCTACTCGATGACTCAACCCCTTCCTAAACGCTCATCAGAGCTTGCTCCCCGGAAAAACCATCCAATCAACAAGGTCAGCGAAAAACCCTTTTCCCAGGTTCGATATCGATTTTTCCGGAGCCAGATCTTCGTACTAAAAGTACACTTCTATCAGTAGATCTTCAAAGATCCACTTGTTTATAGCTTGCTATCACCTTTCGGGGTAACCGTTCGTGCAACTAGCAGCGGAGAGCTAATCCCCGCTCTTTGCTGTTTTCTAAAAGTTGACCATTGTGCTGTCGTTGGATGATGAGTCAATGCTGACCCCCCAGTGTCTCATCCATCCCCTTTCCTCTCCCCCAATCGGCCGAACGGACCTTCGGCCAGCCCGTGTGCAAGATTTCTCAGAAAATAACCCCTTCCAAAGCCTATATAGCACTCGAAGGGATGGGTATTCTACACAGACTCAGAACAGTCTATCTACTCTACTTCCAAAGCTAAGCTTCTCAAGCCATGCAAGCCATCAATCAATCCGAAGTCCAGATTCTCTCCAATCTCGGACAAATCGACACTGATGATTATACATTGATGTATCCGCTACTCGCCTAAATGGTGGATGGCATCTACCATATCCTCTGCTGTACATTCTGCCTATTCTGGCTGCTGTGATTAGTGATTCTGGGTATACTTCAAGCTCAGATCAACTTCTACTACCTGAACTGCTTCAAATTTGATGGAGCTATGATCATGATCTCACCACTTTACTTCATCAGAAGATCTCTATCTACCTCGACTCTTCCACGATCTCGCCAGTCTACTTCCCGGATACTCCCACGGATCTCCGAAATATACTCTACTCAACGATATCTCACCCACACATATTATTTGTGCAATAAAATATAATTTTCATTTGGCATTTCCGGTTGATTCAATTGCACGGGAAGACAAAATCGAAGTTGCGGGGTATTACAGAGTGGCGGGGGTTGATCTAATTTTCGGCAACGGTTTTTGCCTACGGCTAGTTTGGGAGTCAGGGTTCCGCGTCAAAATAGGGCCAGGAAAACGAGTGGGTTTCGCGCGCCCACTAGGTCAGTATAATTGGTCCGACGGGATTGAGCTTGTTCAGCGCTGGCCCTCCCGGGGGGAAAATGCGAAACGGTGCGGTTCCGGTGATAATTTTCAGCCGACAGTTACGGTATGTCGGGGATTCGCGGCGGGATTGAATTCTCGGTCGGACGTCGGGTGCACGGACATAAAAATTTTATATAGTAGATGTACGTTCTTCGGATAGGCGAAAAGAATTTGAAGATGCAGGCGACTAGTCGTGAAGTGAACTTATTATTATGTGAGATGCAAATCACGAGGACGTTTTGTAGCACCACAAGATTTTAATCTTAAACTATTCACGTCAGAAAGGTAAAAATAGAAATAAACCTAGATGTGCATAATAAACCATGCCAAGTTATTGAGCTTAATTTTCCGCCAAAAAGTTCACAGGGTGTTCTGGTAGTTGTTTTTGCCAAAGCCTGGGGACAATAGAAAAACCACTTAACCGAGATAAACCGGATACAAGATCCTACCACTCCGAAAAGTACGTAACCTCTAGAAAATTCGTAAATCATCCTAGTTCATCCGATGTCCCAATAAGCCCTGTGTATTAAGAAACTGATTCCTACATCCTTTTGTGGGGTCAGTGGGGGCAAGTTGAGATCCATGCGCGATCAAAAGTTGTGAGAAATTAACGAGAGATTCTATAGTAGGAGAGAGCGTGAGAGCGAGAAACAGAGTGAGAGAGAGAGAGACAGCGAAAGATAGGACAAGATAAGAATTCAATGCTAGTGTGATTTAATAAAGCTTTAATAAACATCTACCCTTAAGAAGGGTAACGAGTGTATTGTCATGCTCTTAATGCTGGCGTAAGACGTGCAGGCCATATTTGTCAAAGCGTGGGCGTACGCTCGCGGTCCGTTAGGCTCTCCAAAAAACCGTTCCGAGCTGATCCGTGACCAGAAGAAGCCTCCGGGGCCAGAACAAACAAATGCTGGTCAGCAGAAGCTGAAGGTATATAAGGATGATGTTCTAGCGACAACGCATAGCTAACTTTTCCCGAGTAAAGCAATGACTTCAAAAATTCTGATGGTTTGCTTGCTTTTCTGCCTGATTCAAGCGGCTTTCGCCACTGACCGACCGTCCTTGTCCTGCTCTTCAATGAAGAAAAGCCCAGTTTGGTCGAAATTCAAGTGCTGGGCGGCTTGTCAAGCTATCGTAGGTATTTTAGTATTAAAGAGGAAGTTGGAAAAAAGCCTGTTTCAATTTTTCAAGGCGCTTGCCGTATTGCTCTTATATAGCCCTCGCACTGCCTCTAAAATACCACCCCCCAAAAAATATTCGAAGTGGCCTTGAAGAAGTAAAAAATGCCAAAAATGCCCCTAAGTGGAAGTTAAAATTTTTGTTTAAGTTTCGTACTGTGTGAGTTGATAGCAGTTTGAACTCCTAAAAATCGTTATAATTGCTCAAAATCGCGAAAAATATATCCTCCACTCTAATAAAAATTTAACGTACACTGACCTTTTTACGGCTTTTTGGACTCTCCATGTCCAAAATGTCGTAAAATCGCGTTCCCGGATCAAATGATCCATGACCCTGGGAAAGGCCCAGGAGAGCAGAGGATCAACAGAAGCTCCTGCAACATAAAGCTGCAGTTTTGCATAGATAGCTCTACTTTAAAAATCATGAGCTCAAAAATGCTAATGCTTTCCGTGCTTTTATGTCTAATTCAAGCAGCCTTCGCTGTTGAACGGCCGTCCCTGTCTTGCTCCTCAATGAAGACAAACCCAATTTGGTCCAAATTCAAGTGCTGGGCGGCTTGTCAGGCTATCGTAGGTGTTTTAGCATTAGAGGGAAAGTCGGGAAAACGCTTTTTTCAATTCTTAAAGGTACTTATTAAGCTTTGTATAAACCTTTACAAATTTCGTCTTGCAGAACTGCTCAACCGGCGAGTGTAGGAACATCAACGGCCGCGCCACCTGTGATTGCGCCTGCAAGAAGGGTCCGGTTTTGATCGACGCCATCAGCAAGCTTCCAATTGGCAAGGGTCGCTGATTGTAAAAACGTGGAATAAATGTGATGCTTCAAAAAAATAATCTATCAATTAAATTATTCTTTATTTAGATTTTTGCAAAAATTCATGGTTCCCAGGCCGAGAGCGAGGTTTCCAACCTCTTTAACAAAAGTTTTATCTGCCCTTTTTGCTAAATTCTAATTTGCATTCCTGCAGAAGTACTACACCAACCACTCAAAAAGAACCAGTGCCGTGTTAAACAAGTCCCATTTCAAAATTGCGTGGGCACTAAAAAACGCCTCCTTGTGAGTCACATAAATCGTTTACATAAAAACGCGCTAGATACGGAAAGTACAAACAATGCCTCTTTGCGACCGCTTAATCATCTGCCTACACTCTTTTCGAGGCAGGTCGAATTACCTAGGCTCGGCTTTCGCAAAGTGTCGGTTTCGGCTAAAGCTAAAATAAACATAAATCAGGAAAATAAGCATAAAAGGGGGTAATTTGATTGCTAGAGCAGTTCCATTAACACCAACTCTCAACAATGAATCAAAAGCTCGTTGTGCTCTGCCTGCTGCTGATCGTCCAATGTGGCGTCGTGGCTGCTCGCGACTCGTGGTCGTGCTCGTCGATGGGCTCGAGCCCCAACTGGTCGAAGGTCAAGTGCTATGCTGCTTGCCAGGCTGCGGTAGGTTGCGATATTGGATCAGGGTTTGATTGAAAAATCGAGAGTAAGCAATCGGGTATACGGGAGAGAAAGAGCGAGAGGGAGATAGAAAGATTGATAGATTGATAGAGAGAGCGAGAGAAGAAGGGGGAGAGAGAGAGAGAGAGAGAGAGAGAGAGAGAGAGAGAGAGAGAGAGAGAGAGAGAGAGAGAGAGAGAGAGAGAGAGAGAGGAAAGAGGGTTGTGTTGACCTCGATTTGAAAATTAGCAGCTGTGCAAAATGTAAAAAAGTTTCAAATAGATCCATGCATGTTCATAAGCATATTTTTTAGAACTGCCAGACCGGTGAATGCGTGCATAGAGGAGGACGCCCGACCTGCGCGTGCAGCTGCAAGCATGGATCGATGTGGGCCGACATCTTCGGTTGATGGCCACCTCCTCGAAGGACCCGAAGAAGCGATTCAACGTGATTTTCTACGAAACGTGCAATAAAGCAAAAACGCGACGATGTTGCACAATCTTCACACTTGAGTTCTTGCTAGTTAGTCATTTGTGGAGTGGGGGAAATTGGTGACTGACGGGTTCCGGGTAACCAGACCATTCGGGTTCGATTTCTAGGAACAGTGAGCCGAGGAGAGCACGTTTCACAGATTGCTCAATCTAACAGCATTGAGAGATGACGGCAGAGATAATCGATAGGGCTAGACATAAAAACTTACACCGAAAATACCAAGAAAATGAGAAGTCAGCGCTGAGAATTTTAAATGCAGGGGATAACGAGAAGTTCTGAATGAGATTTCCTAAAAAAGGATCAAGCCGCAAATGATAATTAGTGGCTTCAAAATCCATTACCGATCAAGACCCGCCATTTACAAAATCCTTTTTAATTTTTCGTGCTCTAGGTACAGGATGCAAATCAGAAAAACCCTAGAGCCAAAATGCTGAGGATGGTGCTCAGATTGTCGCCAAAAATGTTCCGCGATGTCGGGCTATCAAATTTAACCATGAAAGTCAAAAACTTAAGGTTGAAAACCTGCTCTTCTCTCTTCGGAAAACGGCTGAGATCAAGTTTTACAACACAGGTTGCTCATCGCATGCACAGAAACAATCAGATTAAATGAAGAAAAAAGAAACAGATTAGTCTTTGCCTTAGGAAGGGTCCGAAGTTTGGCAAATCCCGTCCCCGAGCAAATATATAAATGAGTGGGAATGGGAAAGGTTCTGGGAATCGGTGAGCCGCCCTGGGAAGGGAAATCTCGCTTTTAGGAACTGGTGATCACACGGGGTCGTTTGAAGAAAAAGGACTTGGATGGAGTACGAGAAAAAGAAAACGATTGACAGATCTGGAAAGGTCGGAGCCTGAGCCTAAGCCTAATCCTAAACCTAAGCCTAGGTCTAAGCTTAAGCCTAAGCCTAAGCCTAAGCCTGCCAAAGCCTATGCCTAAAGCTAACCCTGAGCCTAAGCTAAGTCAAGCCTAAGCCCCAGACTAAGCCTAAGCCTAAGCCTACGTATAGCCTCACAGGAGCTGACTAATCTTTCCTAGGAAACTAGTCCATTGTTTTCGTCTTTGCAAGACCGACTCATGACTTTTCTCATGACCTTGCACCCGCCCTGCTCGTTTCCCAGAACAGTATCTCTATTCTCATTTATAGGGGGAGCGGGGAGACAATTGGCCGAACAGTCACACTTTTCCTAAGACTATTCGGTCGCTTTGCACGACCTGTGCCTTGATCTGAAGCTAGACGAGAATATTGGATTGAACGAGCTAAAATTAAATAGCGACTAGGTTAACAAATTCCGGGGCTTCGCAGTAAACCGGAAATAAGATCGTTAGTGAATGTGGGAAATAATGTATGGAAGTAATGTAACTAATGTTTAGCTGCTGTAATATCAATTCGTGATCTATTTTCCTTTAACATTAAGATTTGCTTGGCGGGCATTCCGGAGAAGGGTCTGGACGTCTAGAAGAACCTGTTGCTTCTCGCATTTGCAGACGCACTTCGGTGTTCCCCGCATCATGTAGCAATCTCCCGTTGAGCATTCCTGACGTAATTATTTTTTGCTTTTACGTAAGGCTTACATTGAACTTTAACCTTTTCAAACGATCGACAAAATGACAATTATTTTCTAGGTATTTAGACGTTTTTGGCTAGTTTAGAAGGTAGTTTTTGTTAATCCTAACTTCCTTACTTCGTTTTTTAGTTAATAAACTATTTTTTAATCGCTCACCTCGACAGCCTGACACGGCTTATGGCATTTGAAGGTGATCCAGGTCATGTTGCTCTTGACAGAAGAGCAGGGGCGCCGCAGGTCATTAGCGGTAAGTTTCGATTGCACGATTTGCAGGAGAAAAACTAATAGTATGGCTTTGTAGAACATCATGTACGACAAGATACTCCAGGTCACGAGCACAGCTTTTCGTTATATAGCACCTTTTAGGGGTCTGTTTGTCCTCTCGAAGCACTCGGGCTAGTCGCTCAAAGCCAAGGCGAAAAATTGGCCAAAGCCCTAAATTTTTTGTGTTTGGGAAGGCACTCGATTGCGGTGGGGCCAAAGTGCTTATTTTAGCGCCCTTAGAAGAGCGTGTTTTGATGTGCGGAAAATATTTTAAAGGCGAGGATATTCGAATGCCAAGAAATTCGAAGCTTTCATCGATTTTTTAGCCTCCCATGCTACCTCTTCTCTTTGTCCCTTTGCTGATAGCCCGAAAATCAATCTCGTTCGCATCTCCTGTTCGTTGTGCTCACGCAGACCTCCAAAAAAATTGAAAGAACTGCTCTCCCTGCCCCACCCCATTCCCAGAAATCGACTGGAAATAGTCGCTACCCGGAATCGCGCTCTGTTTCTTCCCATCACCCTGCAAATGACAAACTAGAGTGTTTCAAAACGTGGATAGGATGGACAAATCTCGGCTTTACTGCTAATAGCTAGTACGATTCTGCCCCGCTAACGTTAAGCAAATTATGCATTATCAAATTTATAACACGAAACAGATTTTTTGTTCTATTTGTTCCAGCCTTTTGCAAGCAACTCATCAACATCGAGATGAAGCGTCCCGTTTTCGCATTTGCATACGCATACCGCGCTTGAGTAGGGCAATCCCAGCATCAAGCACTTCCCAGTTGGACAGCCCTAAATGTGTATTTTTTTTCAGCTCTATACGTGGCGCGATACGAGGTACAATAGATTCTATTTACCCCACCTCAACTTCCTGGCACGGCTTCTCACATTTAAAGTTAATCCAACTCCAATTGCTCTTCACTGACCAGCAGGGTACTTCTTCTTTTTCTACAGCTGTTGGCGTTGTAGACAAGGTATTTATGGCCATTAAAAGGTATATTAAAAAATACAGAAATAGGCATGAATGTGACATTCCTGAAGCTCTCGTCAGGCGAGGCGCACTGCTTCCAACTTTGGAGACCTACGAAGAGACCACTCGACATTTTGTTGACACGCTTTAGCTTTTGGTCCATTTTTCTCATGACAATTTTCACACCTTCCCACCCTCACTCCAAAAACTTTGGCTACCGGCTCTAGGCTTATAGAACTTCCTGAACCCGAAATTCATTAAAAGAATTCAGAATGGAAGTGGAAGTAAAAAGTTTATCGATGATTTTCTCTGCGGAACTTGTTATTTACTTTGCTGTTGTGCTAGACAGCGCAAATCGGTATTAAAATTATATGGAATTGAATTTTCGGAACCATGTGCAGCTTGAAGCAGAAAGTGTGCTCTGATCAAACGTTGAAAGGAGGCTTAATCGCCGAAAACCAGTTTTAAGCTCTCAAAATTATCTTGTTAACTTGTGTTTGCTTGTCCAGTTAAAAAAAGATAATTACATACCCAAAACATACCTTAATTTTGTCGTTTAAAACTAGCTTTTTAGCTAGTTTTAAAACGGCCTCGCCATGCTGTGTCCCTTAAATCATATTCTCACCTTTGAATTAGGCAACACGTAGCGGATCTAACTAGGTAGCGTCTCAAAATTAGCGTAAAAGTGAACCAAATTAATAGAGGCCGTCCAACGTCCTAAATTTACCCCCGTAATAACCACCCCAACTGACCTAAGCAAAAATTACCGCAACCAGCTCAATCCCGTCAGACCAATTATACTGACCTAGTGGGCGCGCGAAACCCACTCGTTTTTCTGGCTTTACTTTAACGCGGAACCCAACCCCTAAACGAGTCGTAGGCGAAAAATTACTGCCGAAAAGCGCACCGAAAAACGACTGCCGCCAATTTGATCAACCCCCGCCGCTCTGTAATACCCCGCAACATCCATTTTGTCTTGCCGTGCAATTGAATCAATCGGAAATGCCAAATAAATATATCATTTTATTGCACAAAAATATGTGTGGGTGAGATATCGTTGAGTAGAGTATATTTCGGAGATCCGTGGGAGTATCCGGGAAGTAGACTGGCGAGATCTTGGAAGAGTCGAGGTAGATAGAGATCTTCTGATGAAGTGAAGTGGTGAGATCATGATCATAGCTCCATCAAATTTGAAGCAGTTTAGGTAGTAGAAGTTGATCCGGGCTTGAAGTATACCCAGAATCACTAATCACAGCAGCCAGAATAGGCAGAATGTACAGCAGAGGATACGGTAGATGTCATCCACCATTTAGGCGAGTAGCGGATACATCAATGTATAATCATCAGTGTCGATTTGTCCGAGATTGGAGAGGATCTGGACTTCGGATTGATTGATGGCTTGCATGGCTTGGGAAGCTTAGCTTTGGAAGTAGAGTAGATAGACTGTTCTGAGTCTGTGTTGAATACCCATCCCTTCGAGTGCTATATAGGCTTTGGAAGGGGATATTTTCTGGGAAATCTTGCACGGGCTGGCCGAAGGTTCGTTCGGCCGATTGGGGAGGGATGAGACACTGGGGGGTCAGCATTGACTCATCATCCAACGACAGCACAATGGTCAACTTTTAGAAAACAGCAAAGAGCGGGGATTAGCTCTCCGCTGCTAGTTGCACGAACGGTTACCCCGAAAGGTGATAGGAAGCTATAAACAAGTGGATCTTTGAAGATCTACTGATAGAAGTGTACTTTTAGTACGAAGATCTGGCTCCGGAAAAATCGATAGCAACCCTGCGAAAAGGGTTCTCCGCTCGCCTTGTTGATTTGATGGTTTTAGTGGAAACAGTATGCTAAAATAGGCGCTTAGGAAGTCGTTGAGTCATCAATCGCGTTCTGAAATATGTAAATAATCAAGCTTAATCAAGGCAATCAATACCTTTAAGTTTAGCGCTCTCGTTTCCAAATACCTTTTGGACCCAAATCGTTTATAAATTTTCAGACAATTTTTAGAGGCATTTTTTGCCAAAACTATGAACTGCCTCCAAAATATTGCTGCCCGTTCTTTTTAGGCCCAACAACGTGCAGTTCCCCATCCTCTATTGACTTTTATGTTTTTCTTGCAGTGTTAGCTCAAAAACCAATGAAACCTGGCCCCGCAACTGTTGTTTGCGGAACGAAAATTACTCAGCATTAGCTGGGGAACTTTCAAAAGATGATTGCAGCGCTTTCACTGCGTCAGGAAGTACACAGCTTCAGGTTTCTACTCTGCAAAATTTAATTTTTCTTACTCATCGTGTTTTTGGAGTTAAATCTTAGCTGAAGAAATTTTTAAGGCCTGTTTTCGCGGTTCCAAACTGCGTAAATATCGATGATCTGTCAGGGTTATTTTTGGCTCGCGGCCAGCGCGGGGATTTTTCTGGGGATGCGATTGACGCGCTTTGCAGGGAGCCTAGGTTGATGTGTCATCGCGGCAACACGATCTGTTTCAAAACACGCTCATGCTCCTGGAAGTTTTGAGTAAATCGGACAAAATCAAGAAAATGCTTGTGGAACCAAAGCTATTATGTATCCCTAAGCCTAAGCCTAAGCCTCATCCTAAGCCTGCTTCGCCTGAATCTAAACCTTAGCCTTAAACCTAAGGCTAAGCCTAAGCGTAAGCCTAAGTCTAGCCTAAGCCTACGCCTTCTTTCACAAAGCTCCGGTCGTCACGTTCCCCTCAAGCTTGTACTTATTGCCTCAAGCTGACGTATCTTTTTTACTAGCTTGTCCTCTTATAAATTTCACGATCTTCGCACTTTCCAATACCTCCCCAGGCGCACCTCAACTTTCCAGAGATCTGCCACGCAACATTCCTCCGGTTACGCATACGCTTTTTAATTCAAGTATCCCATAAATTCGAGGGGCCGTTAAGGAAATTACCGAGCGTCAAACCACGCCGCTTAGCTGCCCTAAAAATACAGCGTCAGGGCCTATTTTTAGGTATCGCTGGTTCTTTTTGTTCGCCCCGGGGGGTTGTTGACAAACTGGGCGCGCGGCCAATTCTACGCCAGCCTCACCACCCACACCTAAAAAGCTAAAAGAGTGTAGTAGGCGCTAAAAAGAGCTCGGCAAACCGCTGGGAATGGCATGGCTAACCCAATTCCAGCGCCTCAAAATTACCTGAGTTCGCGCATACGCGGGGCTGTTAAGAGTATTACGCGGAGCCTAACGGCAATATTTTGGCTTGTCCGGCCTGTCCACGTCTTCTGGAGGTGACCTATCTGGGTCGGTCGATTCGATTATTCCGACCCCGCCCCGTTTCGCCCCCGACTTCGGGGAGTTCGATTGCTATATAGGCGCCGGGGATGGGGGTTAGGGTACCAAAGCATCTCGATTGCGATCCAATACATGAACAGCATCTCCTTCTCCTCATCTACTGACTTTTCCATCGTCTGCAACGGGGGCCAAGTCGACGCCGATGACTATACGCTTATGTACCCGCTGCTTGCTTAAAATGCGGATATTTTCCATTCTACCGTACTCATCGTCTGACGATTCAACTGACGATCAGCCCTGTATTTTTGAATTGCAACTGTTCCTACCGTGTCCCTCATCATCTACCGAATTCCGCCACGATTCGACTTTTTCATCACGATCTCACGAATTCACCCAACGATTATTCGACTCTACTTCTACACCACCTGTTTTATCCTACACTGCTCTACGCACCCATCAACGCTCTATTTTATGACGATAACCAACAATCGTAGCTTAAACTTGTAGTACTTTCTTTGTCATCATCATTTTCTGTTGATCTCTACAACCCTGATGTGCCTTCCCCTCTTCGAACATACGAGTGTTTACCCTCTGGCTGTCTTTAAAACGAAACCTTACGGGTTCTGTGTTAAATAAAATATGAAAACAATACCTTGGCTGATCTGATTACACTAGAATCAACAACAAAATACACTACTGAATTCTAAACGTGACTAAATCTTCCTCGGTACAATACCGCGATTTTTTTAATGTTTCTTGACCGGCTTTCTGAACTCTGAAGCTATAAATTATTACAGCATAAATTAAGGATCACCTGAATGAATGAAAGCCTTTGTTTGTAATTATCCGGTTTCAATCATCAAAAAAATCTTTATGAATTGTTGTATGCTTTCGTGCGCACCAGCCGTCCTCAGGCTCACGTTAATGCGCCACCATCCCCTTTCTCGGCTGAGGCAAATGTCGCCATACCTATGCAGGAAGAAACATGTCCTCCGGGCAAGCATTGACAAAAGCTTCCCCCGATTTCATCCACTCAATTATTTTTTTATGTTAATTTCTAGTTCCAGAAATTCTATATCTTCCTCACTACCTGTCTCGCTCTCGGTCTCTCTCTCTCATTCTCTCTCTCATTCTCTCTCTCTCACTCTCTCTCTCTCTCACTCTCTCTCTCTCTCTCTCTCTCTCTCTCTCTCTTTCATTCTTTCTCTGTCTCATATTTTGCCTGTCTCCTCTCAGTGGCCTGATCTGCAGAACGAAAGTTTACTCACTCTCCAAAGATAATTTTTTTTTACTATACCTTGCGTTTGAGCAAACGAAATCGGTGTGTCCCTAAAATTTCCCGATAATGGAACTTGCAGCTAGATCTCGTGCTAAATCCCATTTTCTCGATCATCTACCCTTGCGGCAAACCGACATAAGAAACAAGATGAAAGACAGAACTTACGGCATGTTTTATTACCTCGACCATTCATTTTGCATCTGAGGTTAAGCGGATTTTTACTTTGTGTTATAATGCGGAAATTGCCGTCGCGGCAAACGTCGGGCACTCAATCCCATTACGCGTACTGCCGTCCCCAGGTTAAGATTTTGGCTGGGAGACCTTCGTCTTTAGAAGCTTGACCTATTCGGGTCGTTAATACGTTTATATAAACCACGCCCCTTTTCGCCCCCGATTTCGGGCTGTTCGATTGCTATATAGGCGCCCGGGATGGGGAGTAAGGTACCACAGCTACCTGCTTGCGATTTAATATATGCACAGCATCTCTTCATCATTTACTGACTTTTCCATCGTCTGCAACGGAGGCCAAGTCGACGCCGATGACTACACGCTTATGTACCCGTTGCTTGCTTAAAATCCGGATATTTTCAATTCCACCGTGCTCATCGATTTACTACTTAAATGAAGATCAACCTCACATCTCCAAAATGTTGATATTGCTACCATATCCATCAACAACTCAAGAATTCCGCCACGGTTCAACGTTTTCTATACGATCTCAGATCTTCACCAAGCGACTTATCGACTCTACCTCTACACGACTCGCGTTATCCTACACTACTCTAAACTCCTATCGACGCCCACCCTTGTGACATTACGTCAATGACGTAGTTGAAGAAAACGTAGGAGTTTTTTATATTGCTTTGGTTTCTGAAAAAATGTTGTGCCTTTGCTTTGTTTGACCTACGAGTATTGCTTGTTCATCTTTCTTTGAGGCGTATCCTACGGGTTTAATAAATACTTCAGAAAGATATTTGCCTTTCAGACACCTGGATACGCAATGAAAACACTGAACTTAGAAACACGATCCAATTTAAACATGTCTTGCCTTGCCTACAAGGAGTCAAAAATTTTTTCAATTGTGCCCGTTTAGCAAAAATAATCAAAAATTTATCACAAAATATTTTATCAAAAAAATTGCTACACCCACGTCAAAATGGCTATCAAAATAGCTAGGAAAATAGAAGCTCTTGTCGTCGATTTTGTTGTGGTGGCAGGTCCAACCGAAGTGCTGCCAATAGAAGAACCACCCGGACTGTCGGTTTTTTTGGACCCAGTTACGGTGGGTCCAGCGTTAGTAACGGAGGTAGGCGGATTCGGAGTCACAGAAGCCTGTGTCGGTGCTAGGGTCGTTGGATCTGGTACGATCTCGCCGTCCTCCTAAAAATTGGTATCTTAAAGAGAAGCAAAAGCGAAAAAAATTATAAAGCATTATCTAATTCTCGTTAAGTTACCTTTTGGCTTGTTTGTAAAAGCGAGACCAACCGTATACTGACTATACATTGGTATTCTATTAGTATGCATCAGGAAAGAATCTGAATAATTCTTGCCACCCAGGAAGTTTGCGATTGCAAAGAGTGTCGGAATTGGGCGATCTCGTCCCGGATTCGCGCCAGCTCCCTAAAAAAGGATAAATTGTTTCCAGCGTAGACCCGACTGGCCAATCCAGAAATTCCCTAAAAAGAAAAAATATCTATAGCATGTATACCTTAACGGTAATGAAATCCACATCAGCCTTCGAGTTAGCAGTCTGGTATCGAGTTAAGAATCCCATCGCTCCTGGCGTTTCATACCAGAAGCCGTTGCGTTCTTGAGCGACAACCTACAAATATATCTCACTTCTGCTCTCTCTCGCTATCTCGCTCTCATTCATTCTCTCCCTCTATCGTTCTCTTCGCTCTCTTTCTCTTTCGCTCTCTCTCTCTCTCGCTCTGTCGCTCTCTGTCTCTCTCTGTCTCTTTCTCTCTCTCTATCTCTCTCTCTTTCTTACCAAGTTCCCAGCATCCACAAGGGCTTGCAAGAAGCTCTCTGATTCCCGATGATTGTTACTGTAGTCGGCGTCACCGTTTAGGAAAAGTAGCCTGATATCCAACTATCGATTTTTTCACTAAATCTACCTTAACGGAATCATAGCACTCGTCAACTGCTTATAGATTTCCATCGTTGAAGTATACTCTCGGGTATATCCGATTCCACTGATGCTGGAAAAATTGGATTCAATGGTAGTTACTATGATATTGTTATAATTTCACATTTTGCCCTTGCAAATACACCTACCTGCAAAACTCGAATTCTGGAACAAATTCCGGTATGTGAAGCGCCTCCCGGACATATTCTCGATTTACAAAATCGCTGGCGCTTTCTAGCATATAGCATGGGAAGCCACCATTGGAATCCGTTGAGAGAGGTATGTAGTCGTACTTTAAAGACATCAATAGATACAGTTCGAGCATACCGGGCTTCCCTTTGCCTTTTCAGCGTCGTCTTTGGGCTTCTTGAAATCGAAGACATAGCAATCGCCATAGGTGCCCGTGAGACGCTTTTGGAGACTAAAATTACATTCTATATGCATGCTAAAGGATTGGAGTGAAGCTAGCCTAAGCCAAAGGGCAAGTCTAAGCCTAAGCCTAAGCCTAGGTAAATAAACTAATTTGGATTACTTTTACTTACACCTGATTTTGCATCCTCTGTAGCACATCACTACATTTTGCCATCTCCGGATTCTCGAAGGGCTTCACGACAGGTATTCCTAAAAACAACCATTTTACTGGAAGCTAGGGCAAGAGAAATTAGAGAATTCGGTCCCTACCGGTGCTGAAGTCAAAGAAGATGGCAAAGTCGCAATCCGACGAGTTATATTCTCGCTTCAGCGTATCGCAACAGTTTTGGAGCTGGTCGTAGTCGCTGGAAATGGACAGAACGTTGTTGTAAATACAAAAAATATAGAATGTTGTAGTGCGCACTTATCCATCATGAAGCCCCGATAATATTGATCATAGGCAAGTGCGCGGACCTATGAGATTCAAAATATAGCATAAAATTGGCTTTATTGTACCTGTCGCATCAGATCGAGCTGTCCGTTAACCGAAATTACACCGGCAAGTGGAATATTCGTCCTTCCGGTCTAGAAAAGTCTATCTTTAGAGGTTCGGCGCTAAAATTTTAGGGTATAAATATTTCGATCAGGAAAATTGTTACAAATTTACTTAAAATCGCATTACCTCCAATTTCTGTGTAATATCCGCAGCCAGCGCGGCAGCCACAACAGCGGCATAGCCCTGACCGGCCAGATACACCGGACGATTAGCAAAATTCGGATACGACTTCCGGAATGCGGTTAGAGCATCGAATAGCTGTCCAACGGTCGCGGTATCGTTACTCGGACCTGAAGCCGCCTTTTGGTATGCGAATCCTCCCGTCGAGGGCACGTCAATAAAGAGCAGATTTGCATATTTGTTCCAAGAGAAACGGTTCTCGAAGACGGTTGCGCCGTATTGGTTTGGGAAGAAGGGGCCGATCTCGGTGAAGAGGCCTGCAAATAGAGCCTAGGCCCAAGCTAAGCCTACGCCTAAGCCTGACCTAAGCCTAAGACTAGGCCTAAACCTAAGCGTAACATAAGCTTGACTTGCCTCTCAAATTTGAGCACCCTGGCTCACTATTCAACCAGAGCACGATCGGATCGCTATAGGGAAGGTTTTGCGATTCCAGGAACCTAAAAGTCCACAGAACTACAACACTCAAGTTATTTCTTACCAATAATGAGCATACGAATCCGATCCCAAATTCAGATAACCAGAATAATGGGTAAAATTCAGCGGCCACGTCACGCCAGGCAAGAAGTAGACGGTATCCTGGGTGGGGATTGAGACTGAAAATCGTAAATTTAACGATTACTGCCATTTTTTCTGAAATTCCACGGTTGAGATTACTTGCGAAACATCTCACGTAGTAGCCTAAGAGTGTAACAAACATTCAAAGACTTACCATCAGGAGCCGGATTTACATAACCCGGATCGAGCGGTTGAGGATCGATCGAATACGGGAATTTTGTGCTCATATCCTGGCCCATGATGAAGTTGTAAAGGAGTTGAAGCCCCGGGCCTGGACGGTCGAGTGGCACCATGTGACCGGCTCCCTAAAATCTGCACTTTAAGGGGGAAAGTATGTAAATATACCTTAACAGTCATGTAGTCTATCGTAGCTGATGCTCCAGTGCCTTGTTTGTGGTACCCTGCCTTGATGGTCTCGGAGCTAAAGGAATGATGACAGGAGAAAGAGAGAGAGAGAGAGAGAGGGAGGGAGAGAGAGAAAGAGAGAGAAAGAGGGAGAGAGCGAGAAAAAAAGATTTAAATACACACTCATTCCTCCCAGCCATGGAATAATACCATGGCGCTCGGGCTTTGGTTCGAGTAAAATTGTTCGCAGCTGCCAAATTCTCGTCAAACCATTCGGCCATTAAATATTGGCACCCCATATCGACATCTCCTTCGAAATGCAGGATGCGGACTTGGGTGTTAAGTTGAGCAGCTGAAAGGCATCGATTTGTGGGATTTTTCGCAATTTTAAAGGGACATTGAAGTCAGCGGTCCATACAGCGCTTCCTGATCTGACCGAGAACAATATAGACAGTTCATTTTTGTGTAGTGTATCTTGGAAATTCCTCATTTCTCATGCCCCACCTTGCTTAAAAATCGACTCGTAGACGGGTTCCATAGCAAAATGAGTCTGGATATACTGACGGTCGAGGTAGCGGCTAAAAATGACCTTAATCTCGAGGTACATTGTCATAGTGAGTTATCCATTTTATACCTACTAGCATGAATGGTACTCCCGAGTGTTCAACCCAACATGGAAAGCCTCTCGCACTTCCGGTTGATTCAAATAATCCGCCTGGTCGCCCCAGAAGTAGAAACCCCAGTTGAAGCCGGTGTAGTCTTTGTCGATTTTGGACTGAAAGGTGGTTTATCGAGTTAGCTATCTCTCTCTCTCTCTCTTGCGCTCTCTCTCTCTCTCTCTCTCTCTTGAAAACCTACAGTCTGATCAATAAAATTCATCGAATTCCTCAATGGTTGCGCCTCACGCTTCTTCCGGGAGTTCGGTGGGTTTGGTTGGACCCTTGGGGAATAGTTGTCTTGGTAAGTGTTGTAGTAATTATTGCTATAATCAAATAAATTACAATATTTCATTAATGAGTTAATACCCGGAATACCAGGTATCGTCGTAGCCCTGTTCTACTACCCATTTTCCACATTGCCCGGAGGTGGTATCGTCATCAACCTAGAACGATGTTTTTGAGCTTGAGCCTGAGCCTAAGCCTAGCCTAAGCCTAAGCCTAAGCCAACTTACCAAAGGATAGGGATACCCAGCCGAATCGATCCCGACATAGCTCTGAAAGTCGTAGTACGTCATTGGATTCGATATGTTGCCCCAAGCACAGTTTTTCAGCCGATCGTACTCGCTAAAATATTTAAGCTATTCAAACCATGTAATTGAAGTCTACTCTAACATCAACATACTCTTTCCCTCGCATGCCTCGATAGTACGACAACGAAATTGCAGAGTTAATCTGCAGATGCTCATTGTGGATCCCGTTTCCAATTGCGAATCCTTTGAAATTGACGTTCAGCAGGTCGCCGGTCTATAAAAATCGAGGGGTCAAACTTAAAAATGCTTTCTAGGATGTTCTAGAAACGCAAATCGAGCTCCGATCAATAATCTTTGCGATTTTATGCGCAACGTACCAATTTTCGTCTCAGCAACTCGTCAGCAGTGGTGGGTAGGTAGACACCACAGTATGACTCGCCTTAAAGTATAAAATAACTCCGAGATCTGCGTTTATAAGTGCTTAAAACTCCTACTGTGAGAACCAACCAGTAAAGTAGAAGTCTCGACCGTCATACTCCGGATAACGTTGGTAGAAGGATTTTATGGCCAAGACGACGTCAACGGCTGTCTGAAATTACAATATTGTAGTATTTATTTCGTTTTGAATAGGTTCTTTAAATTGTACTTACTTTATTGTCATTCCACTCATTATCATCCGGAACGTTATTCGCTCGATAGGAGAAGCCGACATCACGTGGGGACTCGATCCAGAGAATGTTGGCAAACTGAAAAGCACTCGATCAACTCAACTTTGATAGATAGAGTAAAGGTAAGTTGACACAAAGTACAAAAGGAGGCACAAAGTGTTTATGCTATACCTTATTCCACGAGAATACGTTCTCGTACACCGATTTCATGTCGAAGTTGATGCGGAAGGGTCCTGAATAAGTATGTTCTAATTCGTGGTATGCAAATTTTAGGTGGTTACGAAGCAGCGCTTTATGCTATAATAGTCAAGTCTGATAGCCTACCATTCTCTGTGAACAATCCAATAAGCCCAGAACAACCGGGTCCTCCATTCGACCACAACAGCAGTGGATCCTTTGAAGGGTTGTTTTGTGATTCCGTTAACCTAAGGATACCGTAATTTTTGAGCCTATCGTTATTCCTTACACATAATAAATATAATTCCCGTCAGACGCATTCAGATACCCAGCATAGGTCTTGAAGTTCGGTTGGAAGGATGCGAACGGGATCTTTGGGACATAGTCTTGATCCTTGGTCGTCGGGGCTGGTGGTGGAGGAGCAGGTTTTGGCTGAAAAGGTAGAAAAACTTCATTAAAAAGAAATTCCTAATACGGAAATTCTCCAAAACTGATATGTGATACGTTAAATGGATATTTTCTCCACTTGCCCAGGGTTGCTCGGGAGGAGAACTTCTCTTGGTCCTTCGATGAGCTCCAGAATCGCCAGCGTTCATTTTTGCTGCCTGAAAGTACGAGAACTTGCTCTTTCTCTCCCAATCTCTCCCACTTTCCTAGCTATCTTTCCTCTCTACACTGCTGGACATAATTATGGCCTCAGTGAAAATTTTTAAAAAATCTCAAATTTTAGCGAGTTTCATGTAACGCTTTCTATGCGAGAGTAGCCGTATCCCATCACCAATTCACACAACAATCAGTTTTGGCATCCTTTGAACAAAAAAAAATTCCGAAAGATTTTTGCCCAAATGGTACTTTGGAAAAGGGACATAATTATGGCCTCACCTGGGTAAATTTTTTATAAACGTTACGATATCTCACAAATCAACAAAAACATTTCAATAATCTTTGGGTCTCTCTTTCATAACCAGTGTGAGGGATGGCTCTCCAAGCCCAGACGAAGGCAGTCGAGCCAGATTTCGGGCCACTGTGAGGTGCGTGCAGGCAGATGTGGCCGCCAAAAATTCCTGTTGCTTCCCGGTACTCTTTGCTCCGCTTACATTTTGCGTAACAAGGCGCCTCAAACATGGTCGTGGCCATACGACCGCGAAATCATTTGGGCACTCCGGAAACCGGTTTGAAGGGATCGGCGCGAATCCGTATCCGCCTCGCTCGATGAATTGCAGCTTCCTTTTGCTAAAAAACGCCGTTTCGATTCTGAATCCGTTTGGAAACGGGCTGAATTCGACCGGCAACAACTGACCCGACGCTTAACCCAGGCCATGTCGAAAATCGCGCAAATTTGCTCGCCGAAGCCGGAGGGTAGCTTGGGGGAAAATGGGGTCTGCCCAGGGTCCTCAAACTCCCTCTAATTTCTGTTTCTGATAAAGAGTGGCCTTTTTGCGATCATTCTCACTCCTTTTGCCATAAGCGTCTCCCAAAAATATCGATTGTCTGCAAGAAATTTTCAAGATCGTGCTGTTGTTGTCGTTTGGGCCATTGAGTAATGAGAAGCAGCGAAACGGAGCCTCACTCTGGCTTAAATGAACCAAGCCGACGGCCCACAATTGTAGCGCCGTGGAATCCAGCCCGTTTCCAAACGGATTCAGAATCGAAACGGCGTTTTTTAGCAAAAGGAAGCTGCAATTCATCGAGCGAGGCGGATACGGAATTCGCGTCGATCCCTTCAAACCGGATGTCCGGAGTGCCCAAATGATTTCGCGGATCGTATGGCCACCGACCATGTTTGAGGCGTCTTGTTACGCAAAATGTAAGCAGGAGCAAAGAGTACCGGGAAGCAACAGGAATTTTTGGCGGCCACATAACCAGTGGCCCGAAATCTGGCTCGACTGCCTTCGTCTGGGCTTGGAGAGCCATCCCTCACACTGGATTACATGAAAGAGAGAACCCAAAGATTATTGGAAATGTTTTTTTGATTGATTTGTGAGATATCGTAACGTTTATAAAAAATTTACCCAGGTGAGGCCATAATTCTGTCCCTTTTCCAAAGTACCATTTGGGCAAAAATCTTTCGGAATTTTTTTTTGTTCAAAGGATGCCAAAACTGACTTGTTGTGTGAATTGGTGATGGGATACGGCTACTTTCTCGCATAGAAAGCGTTACATGAAACTCGCTAAAATTTGAGATTTTTTAAAAATTTTCACTGAGGCCATAATTATGTCCAGCAGTGTATGTATCTCACCTGTTTCTTGACCTGATACTCCTCCAATAACGGCGTATCGGCGTCATTTATCAAAAATGGCGTATTGAAATCCCGTCCCGCTAAGAAATTTGCATACATCTGAAGAGCAGGCCCAGCTCTGTCAAGTGGCACTAGGTGACCGGCACCCTAAATAGTGCTTGAGTTTGTTCTATTCATTTCCATACTTTAACAGTAGTGTACTCAACGCTCAATTTCCCATTTGAAGACATGAATCGCTTGTTGTAGCCGGCGTTTCGGGTACGGTAGCTAAAGGAAATTTAGGCAACGATATGGAAACTTACATCCAGGGTCCATAGGTCTTACCGATGTGCATCGAGTTTCTCTTCGCCAAGTCTTCGACGAACCATTGGATTCCCATGAAAATTGAAGAGGAATCGATGTCACCGTTGTAGAATAGGAGACGGAGTGGCTTGCCGTTTGCTGCGCTAAAATAAGTGTAATTTTCGGAAAAAAGCACCCCTCCAATGGCCAACCCTAACCCTGACCACCCACTCGCCACACATCTGGCCCACTAGGATAAGGTATGAGTGCTCCGGAAATGGTATAAATTATAGTTCGAGCCTAAGCCTAAGCCTAAGCCTAAGCCTAAGCCTAAGCCTAAGCCTAAGCCTAAGCCTAAGCCTAAGCCTAAGCCTAAGCCAAGCCAAGCCAAGCCTAAGCCAAGCCTAAGCCAGCCTAAGCCTAAGCCACCAAGCCAAGCCTAAGCCAAGCCAAGCCTAGCCGCCCAAGCCTCCCAAGCCTCCGCCAAGCCGCCCAGCCCAAGCCCAAGCCGCCAAGCCTGCCTCCAAGCCCAAGCCTGCCTCCCAAAGCCTGCCTAGCCCAGCCTGCCGCTCGCCTGCCTGCCTCAAGCCCAAGCCTAGCCTAAGCCCAGCCCAAGCCTGGCCCGCCTAAGCCCAAGCCTGCCTAGCCAGCCAAGCCCAAGCCAAGCCGGCCTAAGCCAAGCCACCAAAAGCCAAGCCAGCCTAAAAGCCTAAGCCTAAAAGCCTAAGCCTAACCCGGCGAACTAACTTCATGACTGCATCAATCAGCGGATCCAACTCTTGATATCCTCGTCGGTATTTTTGCTGTATAGTAGCACTAAAAATAGGAAATAATAGGTCTTGATTATCTGAATCATACCTGCACTCGGTCCAATTTATATTACTCTTCGATACATGAAGCGCCTCTTTGACCTCTTTTCGGTTCAACCATTTTGAAGCCGCGTTATTTGCATAGCACGGAAACCCTCCCAGGTTGTCGGTGACATCGATGGGAGCGTTGAGCTAACGGTAGCTGTTTAAAAAATTCGAGACATTGCATCTTACAGCCAAATTCGCATAGTAGCGTCCTTTGAACTTTGTTTTGTCAATGTGATTCGAGATCCCACTCCACAATTGCGAGCCATGGAGGGTGGTAGATTGGGTGTAGCAATCTTCATACATGTTGAGGGCGTGATTGCTGTAAAACAAGAGATCAGAGGCGAGAGAGACGGAGCCGGAGAGAGAGAGAGAGAAAGAGAGAGGGAGAGAGAGAGAGAAAGAGAGAAGAGAGAGAGTTATCTAAACTCACATTCTATCTTCAATCCGCTCTCTCAAAAATCGTCCAATCGTCTGGGCGCACGTCGAGTTGTCCTTAGGACTGACAACTCCGTTATCCCATGTCATATAGACGGAGAAGTCACAGTACTCGTACCAGGCTGGATCCGAATCGGATTGATTACAACAGGGAATTAGGCTTTCCCATTCTCTAAAACCAGTTAGATAACGTTTTTTCCTTTGTCGCTCTCTCTCGCTCTCCTCCCTCGTTCTCTCTCTCTCATCTTCCTTACTTCTTCCCGAGTTGACCATGGAAATAAAGATAATGAATTGCAGAATTGATCTGTCGCTTCACACTAACATGCCCATTTCCGAATCCAATCCCTTGGAGGTTGAAATTACCCTAAAATACATTGAAATTAGCGTTTCAGAAAATTACGGTAGTATCGGCCAGTATCCTCTCAGACGTCAATGCCGCAAAAATGGCTGCGTAGCTTTCTCCAAATAGGAAAAGTTGGCGTTGCTTGTATTCCGGGAATACGGTGTAGAAATCTTGGAGGGCGGAGAAGATTTCGGCGGCTGTCTGAAAGGTTCGTCGTCTTCTAACAAAAGTTAGAATTTGCGTCAAACCGTAAGATCCGTTTGCTGCATGATGACTTCATTATCGTCGTTCCGGAAGGAGAAGCCGGTGCCGTAGGGGGCGTCGAGGTAGAGGACGTTGGCCATCTGAAGCAAGAGGTTAGGAAGAGAGAGAGAGAGAGAAAGAGAGAGAGAGAGAGATGCGTGTGATAAAGAAAGAAAGCTTCACACCTTATTCCACGAATACACATTCTCGAAAACCGTTTTCCCATCCGGATTCACCCGAAAAGGCCCGTTTTCCGTCAAAAGCGCTCCCATGCCACTGCATCCAGGTCCGCCGGTCAACCACAAAACCAGTGGATCGGAAGCCGGGTTTCCTTGCGATTCCAGGAACCTAAAAACAACTTTTGTCTAGTTTATCGACCCAAAATTACCAGTAATGTACCGCCGTCTTGACACCGCCAGCATTTCCATGTAGGTAGCCACTGTACTGCTTGAAGTTGACGGGCACGGTCATTGCTGGTAGCCACCAGACTCGGTCGGCTTGTTTTCGCGTCCCTAAAAGAAACAAAAATGTAGAAATTTTGCTTCAAATCGTTGGGTTAGACAACCTTGATTTAGTACGTTCGGAAGCTCGTTTATGTGGACTCAAAACACAAAAAAAACGGTTTTTCGCCTTCTGTAATTGATTTTATGAGAACTTCGCCTTACATTGTCTGCCCGGACCAGCATACGTTATCTTGTAGGGCTGAGGCTTGTCGGAAAGTCCAGGAGGCTCTTGGAAAAGAAACCTCGTAAGCATCTGAAGCACAGCATCCGGACGATCGTAGCCGAGCAAGTGGCCGGCGCCCTGTAGGAAATGAGGAAATTCGATCAATGCCAATCTCATTAAAAATGCGTTTATTGAATTAGACGAACAGGGAAATAAAAAATAACCGCATTATACCTTGACCATCAGGAATGAAATCTCAGAGCCGTTCTTCGTAAACATAGACCGCCCCATACCGCCTTCCACCTGATACAGCGAGTCGGTGATGAACTCCCATCTCTCGCGACCGAATAGGATTCCCTTAATTTTGGTTTTTGGTTTTTTGCTCAAATCGAAAGTGACCCACCCCCACCCGCGTCGAAAACTTTTTCAAAAATTCCTCGCTGGCCAGGTATGGGACTCCAAGGTCAAGGTCACCGTGAAGGATCAAAATTCCAATTTTACTAAAGGGATTCTTTTAATAAAAGGTATCAATATTACCGGGTTTGCTCGTATTGGTTGATCAATTCCTCGAGATCGGCGCTGACGTCTTCACTCAGCGGGCTGTTGATCGGCCACTCGGAGAAGCTGGAAGGAGTTATTGGGCTTTGGCTTACATTTCTTCAACCTAGATGTAGGCTTCGGGTAAGCGTTGAAGCCTAATTAACCTGCTTAGACTTACTCGCCACAAAACAATGCCGAATTCACTTTACTCCAAGACATATAGCCTCGCAAGCGAGTCCGGAAGTCGCAGATGTAGCCGCCGGAGGTATCAGTGGAATAAGGGTTGATCCGAGACTAGAAAAATGAAGATCTCCCGCTCTCTTTCTCTCTCTCTCTCTCTCTCTCTCTCTCTCTCTCTCTCTCTCTCTCTTTCTCTCCCTCTCGTAAACCTACACCATGATCAAAGAACGCATTGGTTCCGTTGCTGAACACATCTGGGGCGGCACCATCAAGGTCTGTGTTGCGTACCGATCGCTTCGACCGTTTGGGCTAAAATTTCTGTCTAGGCGTGGACTTAGGTTTAGGCTTAGGCTCAGGCTTAGCTTGGGCTTAGGCTTGACTTGGGCTTAAGCTTATGCTTATGCTCAAGTTACTTTACTTTAGCGTTTTTGCTAGCTCACCGCATTCCCGGTCTGCCATGTCGTGTAACAATCCGTGTACTGATTGTCGGTCGATTGATCGTTACTATAATTTCAGGTTGCAATTTTTAGGGTATGCAAACTTACTCTTCGCTAACCAGGTAGTTGTTGGCTATGGATGCCGCATTTTTGGCGCACCATTGTTGCACGGGGTCAGAAAAATTCTTCGCCTCAGGATATCCTAAAAGCAGAAATGGTGAAAATTCTCGAATTCCTTGCCAAACTGATCGACGTATACGTACTGCGCAAAGTCGCAGTTGTCCAAACCATTCGGACAACACTGCGTCAAGTTTTTGTAGTCCCTGAAATAAGCATTTTCTTATTTTTATATTTTTTCGTCAAGTTTTCGCTCTAAAATGCCGACTTGAATTTGGTTATTTTAGGTTTTTTCTAAGAAGTGCATCAGGATTTCCTTCCGCAAGCTAATTTTGGAATTAATGAAAATAGGAAAACGACCATTAAATTTTAACCCACTTTATCGAGCTCCAGCCGTCGTAATATTGCATATGGGGAGCAACATCTACCAATGAGCTGATGCTTAGCAACGGGCCGGTAAAGATCAAGCCGCCGAAGGTTTGGTTCTAGAATTTTATTAAGATTTTTTCTAAGTTTCAACAAACAAATCTCGGATCCATCGCTGCTCGAATCGCCACTGGGGTCGCATAGCCGCCGGCTAAAGTATACGTGATTTAAATTATCCTTTTTGATGTCGCTTTACTGATATAAAATTGCTGATTATAAACAGTTATTAAATACCTAACAAAAATAGCGATGTGATCTTGCGTTTCGCTATTCGTTACAAAAACTCATTAACTCTTACCTGCAAAATAGACCATATTGGTTTGATAGCTCGGGTTTTCCGTCAGAAATTTTGTCACAAAATTGTTAATCAGAGCGACAAACTAAAAACTCTCAATATCTGGTGCTCCTCGAAAAACACCTTGTCCATTCCCTCAAAGAACGTCATCGATAGGTCGAGGAACAGCACGTTGGAGATCTAAAGTTCAGAGGTTTTCTAATGCTTGAAAGGAATAAGCAAGCTAAATCTCAGCAAGACCAGAAAATCGTGATTACCTTGTTCCAGGAATAAACGTTTTCGAGAAGTACAGTATGGTCCCGGCCAATACGGTATGGGCCAATATCGGCAAAAACAGATCTAGCCGGGCCGCACGGGCCAGCGTCGCCGAGGTAGATGATCAGCGGGTCGGATTGGTTATTTTGAGAGGAGGTGAACCTAAAAAACAACTCGTAATTCTTTTTAAACTTTTAGATCTTTTCGTAATGTTTAAAAAAAATAAAGTTAAAATAACTGCGTAATGCTTGCTAGCTGCGAAAGTCTAATTATCAACTTCCCCAAATTGCCTCTGCTAGCTATCGTGTGCGGTTTTAGCCGCCTAAATGGTCTCTGCTAAAATTCGCGACTCAAAAACGGTTATTTTCATTTAGTAAAAAATCATTTGATGGAAACATCTTGTCGAGATATAATTTGTCAAAATGGCAATGCTTTTTTCACCTTTATTTTTAGTCTCAAAGTTTCGCATAATGAAATTTCAGCGCATTGAAATTTTGACCTAATGGGAATTTGACAAAAAGGTTTTCGACGAACTGCTTCCAAATAATTCAAAATGCTGTCTAAAATGAGCATTGCTAGTTAGCGGATCGAAAATACCATCTAAAATCGCTTATGCGAAAGGACAGCTTGGGAAACCGTTTTAACAAACGGTCTCCGCTAGTTGTCGCCTGGAGTCTTCCAAATCGTGATTTGGCTTTAGTCTGTCGTGATGTTCCGAATTTTGCCAAAACTCACCAATATCCAATCCCACTCCCGCCAGACCCATAGCAAAGTCGAAAATTCGGGTCCCAGCTTTGCCCAGGTAGCTTCGTAAAATTACATTCAGCATCTACAGCAGCCCCGAGTAAAAATAATAAATAGAGAAGTAGCCCTCCTCTTCCGGGGGCCATTTCGAGGAGCTTAGAAAGTGAATTACTCGCCGATTAGCGGCTTTTCGGCTCCTCAGCCGATCAGCCGTGTCGCAGCGTGGCGGGGCCGTGGTGATAAGGAGCGCGTATTTTTGGGGTGGGCAGCAAAATGGAATAAAAATCCCGTAATTCCCGTGATTTGTCAGCGGAAATGACCATTGCCCGCTGTAGGATGTGATTTGCAGCTTGGATTGGAGCAAAAAAAACTCGATTTTTGCATGACGTTTCTTGGGCTGGAATAAACTAACCGGTTAGAATCGCTAAAAAATTAGAAATTGCATTCATGAACTATCCGAGGTAACTTTTTGTCGTTTTGGTGTCGTTGTTTTGGTGGGGACCATGTCGATTTTTTCGAAACTTCGAGTCAGCCCGTGTGAATTTCGCCCTCGACGATTCAATCCAGCTTGGAAGGTTGATTCCGATGTGCTAACTGGCATATCTCAAAAATCGCGTTTGCGTTTTTTACGATTTTTTTTTGAAATTGCAACTAGGCACCCGGCCGGCCCTTCATCGGTTGTGCCTTCCGAGGCTCATTGGGCGAGAAATCAACCTTGCCAAAGCGTTCGGGGAGATGACTTTCGGGAAAATCACTTTTCCGGGAAATGACTGGCACCCGTTCGAGACAATCGTGGAATTGGGGCCAAGCTAATGCAGAATTGCGCGGGAAGGCTCGACATCTGTCAACCTCTAGAGGTCAGAGCCATCTTTTGGGTTGGGTTGGTTTCCTGACTCGCCCCCCACCTGGCCCACTGCCTGTGGATACCTTCCCTCCCCCATCCGTTCATAAACTTACCTGGCTGGGGGGTTCCCGTGATCATCAAGACGGGACCCCTATGGCGAGGCTTGGCCATTGCACTTCTCGGCCGGGCTGACCTGTAAGGCAGCTCCGAGTTGGGGTTCGCCTACAGCTAAATTTTTGAGTCAGGGGCTGCGTTCGCGCGGCCCTGAAAATCAATTCTAACCGGAACGCTTTTTAGAGTACGTCTGGTAACCCTTAAAAATTTTCCGTGGTCCCCATCTTCGGTAAACTTCTCCCTCCACCCTCACCTTTATCGTACCCGGATTAACCTTCCAGGTCCACCCTCACCTTTAATTTTTTCGGTTTTTTTTGGGTCACACGGCAGATCAACACCCTAATCACCAGATCGCCCCGGCGGCAATTAGGGCCCGATATTCATTTTTCACATCTCCTTTTTTGATTATTTCCCGTAATCCTGGGGGTTGATCCGCTCCACCCTCGCACTCCCGCGGTCAACATGACTTTTTATTCACGTTTTTGGACCCCGCGCTAATCCCCTCCCTCGCTCCCCCCGCCAGGTTCATGATTGTCTACACAGAATTGTGAGCAAAACTGGACTTTAGGTCGGGATTCATATGCCGTCGTCGCCTACCGTTTGTCGGTTCGAAATGAGAGTCTTCAGAAAAATAAAATCTGGCATATGCCAAGGTGTAGCGCAAAATAAGAAAATTTGAAGATTTGATCGTTTTCGTTTACGATTTCGATTGATTATGTCGATAAGAGTATTCCGAGCAGAAAAATCCGTTGAAGGTTTTCGACGTTACGGTTCTGAAACGGCGCGCTTAATAAATTTTTTTCGTTGCGCTATTGAACCGAACATTTTGTTTTCTCTTGGCCGACTCATCGTCTTCAAAATACGGGTCATCAAAAATGGCGGGTAAAATTTATTCAGCATGTAGCGCAAAAAACAAAATGAAGAATTTACTTTTGTATGAGTTTTCCGCTGTTTTTTTTATTATTTAAGGTACCGGAAATGATACAATTCAATAGCGCCTTGACTGAAATAAAGCTGGGCTAAACTCCAGATAACCCCCCAGCCGACCCCCACCTACCGACTCGGCCCCTGTTCATTACAGGTGTAAAGTATACCAAAATACTCGCCACAGCAAGACGAACATTTTGGTATACTTTACACACCTGTAGATGAACAGGGAGCCGAGATACAAAAGTTGGGTGCCGGCTGGGGGGTTATCTGGAGTCTTACCTAAAGCTGAACTTGCATGGCTACCATATTAGCGGCCCTGTGACCCTACAATGATCTTTTTAAAGCAGATACCACCAATTGTTGAATTCAATCCAAAATTTTCTTTAAACATTCGAAGAAGTTCTGACGCTACAAGATTAAACATTAATCTGTAGGTCCACCAGCAAAGCTATGGATTTTGCAAAGCGCATAGCAATCTTATAAAACTTCAGTCAGCACGGTCGACTTTGCAAAATTTAGCAGGAATTATGAAAAATAAAAATAAACGACAATTTAATTTGAATCATGCAATTTTTGGTCGATTACCCCAAAAACTTGTCATATTCGGTTAAATGACTGCGTTGGCCAAAAACCATTCTCGTTAAAAAATGTTAATTGTCGAGGGCGTAGCCGAAGGCGGGAATTAGATTACCGAGCACATGCGTACATGTACTTTTTTTTGGGAGAACCTTCACGTCCCAGCCATTAGTCAAGCCCAATGGTTACTGTATCATTCCTCCAGGGACTGGTTGCAGAGTAATGAATGGGAAAGTACAATTATACTGATTTGATAAGCTTATATCAGCTTTCCGGCCCTGAATAAGTCATTGACAGGGCCATACATTCGGCAGCTAATTTTATGGATATCCGGGCATATTTTCAAGATTTTGTATACAGTATTTACTGAATGTAGAGGCTACTAGCGCCATGTGGGCTCTTTGAGTGTTCTTTGCCACGCGACCCACTAGCCCACCTACTGGACGTCTCTTGCCCCCGAAGTGCGCGCCATTCCCTCCCTTCCTCACCTCTGGTTCGTGTGCATTTGACCGAGAAAATCTTTCGCCTTTTACTAAAGATTTCCGTGCACACGAACAATTATGAGTATACTCTAATTTTTGGAGCCCCCTCGAGAGAGCGGGGCAAAAATCATCAAAATCGCGGTAATAATAGTAGTGCTAGTAAGTAATATAGGCACAGCAAATGATTACCTTTGGATGGATGGGAGCTTTCAAAAATCCTCACTGTAAAGCCGCATAAAGCTTGAAACCCGATAAATGAATATCCCCCGTTGATACATCGATTTCCCGATGGGCGGTGAGGTCTTCAGACGAATCGGAACCTAGAAACTGTCCCACTTCTTTGACTTGAGTATACATCATTTCGAGCCGCTATAGCGCTTCAGTTAGAATTGCTTTTCAGGGCCGCGCGAACGCAGCCCCTCACTCAAAAATTTAGCTGTAGGCGAACCCCAACTCGGAGCTGCCTTACAGGTCAGCCCGGCCGAGAAGTGCAATGGCCAAGCCTCGCCATAGGGGTCCCGTCTTGATGATCACGGGAACCCCCCAGCCAGGTAAGTTTATGAACGGATGGGAGAGGGAAGGTATCCACAGGCAGTGGGCCAGGCGGGGGGCGAGTTGGGACGCCAACACGTACAAAAGTGCGGGAACGGCCGACATCGGCTGACCTCTGGTTTCAACGGGATTTCTTTTCTAACGCTCAGGGCGGATGGTTTCAACGTCATCTGTCAACCTCTGGAGTTCAGAGCCATCTTTTTGGGTTGGTTTCCTATTAGGATGGTGACTGATGGTTTTGATCGACAATTGGATCGTTGGTCTGATCTCAAATACCTCAAGCCCCCCAGGTTCTTTAATTCTTTTTCTGTTTCTTTCCCTTTAAAGTTTCTTTTTCCAGTTTTCCATGATCCAAGACGTTAACCGGCAGTGAACCGTTTTTTGCTCATCCCCAGCACTTTTTCAGCCGATCCCCGCACCCGCAAAATTCACTCGCGCGTCCATCGAGCGTATTTCGGGGGCTGGGGGTGGGAAACGTCGGTGTTGGCTGAGAGTGCGAGACCGAGGCAGCGTGCCGCTCACATGAACTGTGCGATACACCACCCAGGGGCTCCCCATTGCATCAGCCGCCCTGGCGAGCGTGGCGTGCTATGAGACTTCCAGCAATGCACAGAATTGTCTAGCTGAATACAAATCGCACAGGCTCATCACTGGAAAAGCACAGCTAGCAGACACATACGAAAAGCACCGGGGAGTTCCCGATTCCGACGGGCTACACGGGACACTTTGATAACAACGTGGACCCGGTGATCGCTCGCGGGAAGTAGACTGCCTACGCTGACGAGGGCAACACACTTTTGATGAGCTGGTGGGGAGGAGGGGGGCGAAGGTCGGTGGGATGGGCTCTGGAGTGATCGGCAGAACTTGCTTTGCCACATTTTCGAGGCTTCATGTAGGAAAGATCGCAAGATCGCCTAGATTTTCAAGCGGATATGGGGTACGAAAAGTGTCTTCTGAAGGCCTGACGCTTAAAGTCGTTTTGATATGCACTATCTATTAACACTAGCATAAAATCCGCGAAGATCGGAAATCCTCATCCAGCCAAAACGAGCCACTCATTCGAAGCCGCTTGAAACGCTGATTCCGATGTGCTTCCGATGTGCTGTAACGTCACATTTTTAATTTTTACGATTTTCTTTGGAAATTGCAACTAGGGACCGCGCAGGCCCCACCCTCTCATCGGCCATTCCTTCCTAGTACCTCACCAGGCCTATTGGACATTTTCAACACAGAATTTGATTAGCATCTAAAAGTGCATAAGGAAGGCCGAAAAAGCGCGAAATGGGAGGCTGGCGGCGCTATGAGATTTGTTTTTGTCAAGGGGAGCCACATGTCCCAAAGTACGGCTGGTTTAGCACAAAATAGTGCCGAAATTCGTTTGTTTCGAGACCTTGGGCCCTGGTTGCCGCGATTTTTTGAAATGTCGGCTTTTGATGGTTTTCGGCAACGGAGGGATCGAGCAAATTTACACAAACGAATAACGCTCATCAATTACACAATGAAAATTTAGGCACATGTCGCGTTACAGGTCGGTTGTGTTACGGTTTCACTAAGCAGGGATTCCAAGTTCTTGCCTTGCTGGTCACATTAAACAACTTTAATTTTGCTTCCCTTCCTTAGTTTTTGGCTTGGATTTTGTTTTGAAGAA